TTGCTATCTGGTAACCCTATGCAGAAAGTCAGACTGGATAATCACTGTGGTCATTTCTGGCCTCAGAATCTATGAACACTGGCAATAACTTAAGTGAAATTTGAGAACTGGTGTCTTACGTGACAGATTTGTTCAAGGTGAGGACTGTATGAGTGTGTACATAAGATGCTAGACAATGTATCAATAGTGCTCTATGCTAATATTTTTACAACAAAGTTTAGTTATCAAATGCCTCGTTATATACCTACCACAATATGTTTTGGCTCATTGTCTACAAAGATATGACCATCTTGTTAGTAAAACCAGTAAGTATTAGTAACAGTAATACTGATTATACTACTCTAAATAAAAATTGATGTAGGAATCTCCACTTAAAAAAAATATTAAATCAAATTTTGCAGTTCTCTATATTGCACGCTAACACTAAACCCTTTCTACTTCACAGATCAGCTAATAAAAATGCTACAGAACTGCTATTGCACCAACTGAAACATTACACACAATTCAAGGCAAAACATATAAAGAAAGAGGAACTAATACGTATAATGACACCGTTCCAAACCCAGGGAATAAATGAAAAGTAACATGCTGGGAGATCACTGCTATTTTCAGTATTCTGAGCACAAAATGATCAAGGGTCACCGAAGCCTCAGTTAAAAAATGTCATGTCAGACCCAATTCCTTTAAATTGTGCAATACAAGGTTATCTTAGACATAGGAGTATCTAAGGGTATGTCTTCACTACTGGTCGGATCGGCGGGCAGCGATCGATCCAGCGGGGATCGATTTATCGCATCCAGTCTAGACACGATAAATCGATCCCCAAGCGCTCTCCCATCGACTCCTGTATTCCAGTTCAGCGAGAGGCACAGGCAGAGTCGACGGGGGAGCAGCAGCAGTCAACTCACCGTAGTGAAGACACTGCAGTAAGTAGATCTAAGTATGTCAACTTCAGCTACATTATTCACGTACCTGAAGTTGCATAACTTAGCTCGATCCCCCTCCCGCAGTGTAGACCAGGCCTAAGGATGTATTATATAATGAGAAATAGCATGTAGTTGTATAATTACAATACCATAATGCCTACAAACAAGAGAAAAGTTAATGTGTTTTCAATCTTTACTTTTACGTTTTCTGACTTTGTGTTTAATTGGGCACATTTTATATTCTGACATTGCTTTTTGTATGAATATAGACAATTCAATAGTTTTACATTAAGCTGGGGGGAGAGGTAGATACGCTAGATGGTAGGGTTAGGGTCCAGAGTGACCTAGACAAATTGGAGGATTGGGCCAAAA